AAATTTGGAGGTTTGGTAGATCTTGAGGTAGGTCTACTAGTCCCATTAGGGTCTGCTTTGTCTTTATTCTTTGTCTCCTTGGCCATAGATTGATGATCAGTCGGTTTGTTAACTTTTTTCCTAGGTGACGGAAGTACGCTGATTACTTTTCTTTTCCTTCCTCCCAATCTACTCAGGGCTGAGGATCCTCCATTGGACTTGCCGGTAGGTCTACCTAGTTTTCTTTTAACCCTTGGAGTAGGCTGGACAGTCAAGTCTTCTAAGGCATCATGTGCTATCACGGAACTTGACCCTAGTCTCATCAATGCAGGGATTCTTTCTGCAGAGATATTGCCTTGTGTCTCCAAATCAGCCTGCTCTAGGTTGCCTTGATTCGCTAAAGAATCTCTGACCTGTGGCTTCCTCAAATTGACCTTCTACTTCTGCAAGCCTGGTTCTCTCCTTCCTAGCTGCACTCTCAGTAGGATCAGCGCCGCTAGCATATTGTACCATGACTTCTCTGAGTTCTCCCATGGCCACTTGTAGCGCTTCTGGAGGTATATACGCAGGTATGTTATGTTCTAAAACCACCCTTTCAAGTGCAGGTCTTCTTTCTCTTGAGGAGGCAGACTGTTCTTGGGAGGAGAGGAGAGCTTTTGGAAGTTCTCTCCTATGCTTTTCCACCCAGACAGGTAGGTTCTGAGGTCTGTCATCTCTCATATTTCCTTGGTAAGTTGAGCTTCTGGAGTATGAAGATCTGTGGGAACTGTATGCTCTGCTTACACTCTGGTTGGTAGGGTAATGGCCAGTGCTACCTTTTGGATAGGTTTGTTGATGAGGGGCTTTTCTTCTTAGATTGTAAGCAGAAACTGTGGATTATACATTTTTCTTTGATCTGAAGGCTCCATGTTCCTGGTAGTTTTTTTTTTTATACTTGTCGCTGGTTCTTGTAGGTTCCAGAGGTTGAGAGGGACGAGCCATTGGCAGGGTAGCAGATCTTGCAGGAGTGATGTCTTTCACTGCTTCAGGGCAATCTTTTGCGTCATGATTCAACATAAAGCAGATGGTGCAGTGCTTCTCTAGTTTTTCATAACAAGAGTGACCAAAACTTCATCTCCATTGGCAAAGTCTAGAGTTGAGATTGTGATTAGAGGTTGAAGCCCGTTTATCAGTACTCGCACCGGTGAGATTTTGAATTTAAAGGGTAAAAGGTTTGGTAAGAAAGGTAGGTGTAAAGAGATTTTGAAAAAGCTACCCAAAGAAGGAAATGTTCTTTGTGTAAAGTCTCTGCATCCCAAACCACAAACGGTTATTACCCATTATCGATAAATGGGCCTGGGAGAGAAAACTTGAACTCCTATATCACCTACTAAGCTTTTTTTGTTTTGAGCTTGTTATATTTGCATTAGTTTTGTTTAGTTTCCA